AAATTTATAAAAAATTTAAATTTAAAGTTTTTGATTGTTTATTGTTTAAAATTTTTTTAAAATTAAAAAAATACTTAAAATATAAATTTAAAAAAATTAAAATTTATAAAATATAAATAATATAAAAAAATTAAAACACTTGTGAGATTGCTCCGAACATACCCTAAGCCGACAACGCACCCTTCTTTTGCCCATCATCGTCGGGTATTCATTTATTTATTTTATTTATTTATTTTAGCAGAAGTCATCATCTTCAACGTTAGAACCTGCGAGAGCCTCCTCCCTACGCCTATAACCTACCCACTCATGCCACGTGTCTTTACGACTGTGGGACCCACACAAAATAGATCTTTCTCCTCCCAGAGTCCTAGCAAGAGCCAATCATATGCTTACACCTCTTACTCGCCGACGAACGTTTTAATGGTTGTTTCAGACTCTGTACTTCAGCATTTATTCTCCATTCATGAAAAATCAAGTCCTTTCAGCGTTGTTTATAGATCCCGAGTTCTGATCTGACAAATGTCTTTTTTGCACCGGAAGAAGGGAACTACCTCCTCAAAAACACCGAGCAAAGATTCACACACTGAAGACGAAGATGAGAAGAAAGGGAAGAGTAAAGGAAAGCAAACAGAAGACTACATCGCCGCCATTAACAAGAAATGCTCATGTCTCGATGGTTGTTTTTGGTTCGTGGGATTCGTATGCTGTATATGGTGGTTCTTGTTGTGCTTGTTCACTGCAATGCCAGCTTTGATCCCTCAATTTGTGACGGAGGCTATAACGGGACGGCTTCCAGACCCGCCTAGCGTGAAATTGAGCATGGAGGGCCTGACGGCGAAGCACCCGATAGTGTTCATGCCGAGAATTGTAACTGGTGGGCTTGAGCTCTGGGAGGGGTGTCAGCGTGCTGATGGATTGTTTAGAAACAAGCTCTGGGGTGTCTCATTTGGGGAACTGTGCAAAAGGTAAAAGACCGTTTTGGAAATGTTGAGGTATGCTCTGTGTTTGCTCTGCTTTTAGTTCTTGGTTTTAGTTTCTCTTGTGGAATGTTCCATGTCTTTTTGAAGAAGGCGCCATGTTAGGAAGGTGGTCCTCGAGTTCTTTCGGCAATGTGAATGCTCTTTTATGATGGTTTACTAAAATATGAGGTTGCTAAATTCTCACGAATTTGCATGATGAGTTTGATGCTTTCCTTCTTTTCCCCCTAGGCCTTTTTAAAAATGGAATCTTTTTTTAGCTGCAAATATTATCCCTTTGTTTCATGTTTGCTGGTTTGGTTTTAAACTTTATGAGTGTGTATGATTGTGGGCTTATAGGAGGCTATGGATAGGTACTCTTTTAGATGCTTCATTGTTTTGGGAAGTATTATAACTTATAAGGTGGTTGATCTTGTGATTAGTATAGGAATGCAAGTTGGTGAATGGTGACTATTCGGTTTATGTCATTTATTTTTCTTTTGCTACTAACCCTTGCTATCCAAAAGTCACATTGACCCCTACTAATTCAAAGTTTGGCTTGTGTCAGACCCCATAAAGGGGAAGCTTTCGCAGCCAACGCCTATCTCTTCATTTACAAAATTCAAACTTGAGACTTTATTTAAGAGGAATCAAGCACCTTCCATTTAGACCAACAGGTCATTGGTATTTGGTTTATGTTAGGGCATCATGTACAGCCAAGTGTATAAAAGGTCTACTAAATTGTTCATTAGGTTGCTTTAAGAGTGCAACGTTTCATTTTATTATGTTTTTCTATGGATGGAAAGATTCAGGCTTGGTTTTTTGAATTTGACGTATTCTCATATCTTTAAATTTTTGCTTGAAAAGGTAAAATAATTAACAGAGGAGAGGGTATCATGGAGAGAACTTAGAACTTATATCTTACTAATAGTGGATGACTTTGTATCTGGTTTGATACATTTATGTGTCAATTTGCTCAAACTATTCAATTTATAGAGTTGATTAGATGAAGTCTTATGATGAACACTAAATGTAGGAAAGC